ACTAGACTATTGGATCAATCAATCTTTCAAAAACTGAAATAGAGAGTATAAAATTGTTTCCAAAAAAAGGAGAAAGTACAGAGTATTTTACTTCTTTTTAGTCCGTACTTTTTCCTTTTTTTGGAAACAATTTTATACTCCCTATTTCAGTTCTTGAAAGATTGATTGATCCAATAGTCTAGTAGATGTAGTCCGTATACTGTAAATATACATTCACACCTTCCTTCCTGCCCTGTAAACACTCTTTTCTCCCCCACATAAGTTAATCTTGCAGTAGAATTGATAGTGTGGATTAATAATGGCCATTGTGTGAGATGAAGTTTCATGAGATTACCACTTATTCATGTGTGGGTGGTAAATTCTACTCTACTACGTAGTTTTGTTGAAATAAAAAAGGAAAAAAAGACCATTTTGATATTGCATTTTATATTTAAATTTTGTCAAAAGTGTCACAAATTCAAATTACTGTAGGACCTGGTCTCCAGCCCAACAAAACACTGCAAATCTTGCCTAAAGTAGCATTAAATTTAGTTGTTATTTTCGTTTTTTGGTTAATTTACATTAAGTTGTTATTTTCGTGAACTAAATTAAGTCAATTTTATCCTTATATTAAGTTCACGCAACCTTTTTTTTAAATACTTGGAGTAAATTTATACAATTGTATAACAAATTATGTAAATTTAGCAAAACTATGGGAGGATTTAACAACACCCTGAAAAATATACCACAAAAATTAGACATGAATGATAGTGGACAAAAACCAAATCCAATCTGCTAAGGTATGATTTTTTTTTTTAAATTATGTACTTTAGATAAAATATAAAATGTGACAAAAACCAAATTAATAATTCTATTTTTTTCTTTGAACTCATTTGTCATTTTTTTGTGCATAATTGTTTAAGTATTTCACATCGAGAGCTTGAAGAAATAATAATGTGTGAATAGAGTCTTCATTTGAACGAGGTAATTTCATTGAATTCAATCTTTTAATGTGATACTAATAGATATGCTCATTTTGTCCATGGAATTATAAATTGTCTCCAAAAACGAGTTTGGTGGGGATCTGAGTGGCATACTTGCAGCCTTCGCCTTCTTTGCGACCTTCGTTGTAATTGACAACTCTGAGTGCAGGGTTCGTGCCCAAGAGCATTGAAGTCATTCGCGACGCATTGAGATTGATGGATTCCCCACCCCCTCCCCCCGCTCATCGAGTCCGAACAAGTCCTGGAGAGTTTGTTTGCTTTGGTGCCGATCCACCGATCTCAGCTTGAACGCTAAATTTAGAATTCTTTTGCAAAAGGTTCTAGACATCTAGGATCTGGGGAAAAAATTTCTTTTTCGCTTGAAAAAAGAGGTCTTTCGCTTTTGTAGAACGGCATAGACACTCCCACTGGGCCACGTTTTCACAACATCAGCATACATGACGCCAAATAGTTGGACATTCTTATGCACACGCCACTAGTGCTTTTGAAGATCTCCCTGTCACATTCGAGCATACCATTGGGCCTCCTAGCGTTGTAGATGTTGAACTTTACTAATGTCAAACTTTCCGCTTGGGTATATTCTTTGGCCCATCATTCTTTTTGGAATTCCCTTTGTTCTGGTACGCAGTGATGGGCTCCATCTCAAAAATGTTGTAATTGTCCGTATTTACAACCGCAGTTGGCAGGGGCTATCATTGGACCCCGAGATCAGGGTAAAGTCGTCGCCCATAGGAGCATCTCCTTGCGTATTAGTGGTAAAACCATGAGGGTGGCATATCTCAGCACCGCATCAATGTCAGTTTGGTCGGGTAGAAATTATCACAGTGAAGATTCATTTCGTGGGTGAGATGAAAGTCAATTAATAACGAATGTTGGATAATTGCATTTGGAGACTTGGTGATTTTTTAGATTTAAAAATTAAAAATAAATTGTAATTGAAAAAAATAGATTAAAAGTCCCCTCATTGCAACGCAGCGAGACACTACAATGGCGATCGCCGCAAGCCGTCGCTCGCACCCCACACCTGACGTTTGGCCCCCGCCGCAGCGCTGAATGCATCCATCTCTCTCGCAGTGGTTCTTCCCCGCATGCCCCGCCCCTTTGAGCGGCGCGATTGTCCCTCCACCCTCACCCATCCATTGCAAATGCCCTTATGGCCCATCAAATCCTATTTTTAATTCTACTCTGTATCATGATTTCAAAGTAGGTTTTGGCTCATTTCATATGTCAAGGTGTCTGTCTATAAATTTATTTACTCCCTCCGTCCCGTTTTAAATCGCTCGTTTTGATTTTTGGGCATATTTAAGGAAAAAAAATAGAGTTGATTTTCAGAAATTATCAGTACTTTTAGAAGGGGTGATGATGAATGAGAAGATAATATGGAGAAGAGTGACTTATTTTAGAGTTAGTTTAGGTATTTTACTCTTAAAAGTTTACGAAAACAACTAACAGGCAACTTATTTTGGGACGGAAAAAAAGGCAAACAGACAATTTAAAATGGGACGGAGGTAGTAATTTTTAGTGTACCTTATTTTAAGCTCGGTTGTCTGTATGGAAGTCCATACCCAGCAATTCAGAGTCCTTTAGATGTCGTTGCTTAAACATTCGTTTTAGGGGAATTTGAATCTATTTGCAAGTGGACAATAGGTAAAGTTCAAATTGATTCAATTGTCGACTTGGGGGGGAAGCATTAAAATTTCCCACATCGAAATTTTGAAGAGAATAGTGGATATATAAGCCTTCGAAGAGAAATAGGTAATCGATTGAATATAATCTTTTAATATCGTTCCATTTAAGTTTTTTATATTTATGTTTATTTTATTTTTATTAAAGAGAATATATTTAGATTTTTATTACATTTTAATACAAAATATAAGCGCTATCTCAAATTTAAGTATTGGTATTATTTTCTTCATCCCAAATGGAAGATTACAATTCCGTGCAGATTGGATATTCTTAATTTAATTTATATCAAACTTGCATCAAGAGAAATATTCTACGACCAATTTAATTACTTATTCCTTCTTCACATGGTCAAATTTTTTTAATGATTTTTTGTACATATTTTTATTATTCAATCGTTAAAAAAAATAATTATATTACTTTTGTTTCATTGATTTTTTTTGTTTATAAAAGGTTTTAATCCTCTAACTTTTAGATATACTCTGTTAGCTACCTTTACTAATGACATGACTATGTTATTTTATCAAATGACTACTTACTACCTCCATCTCTGAATATTTCTTTGATTTTGACTTCTTACAATCAACAGTATTCAATGTTTGACCTATAATCAAATAAAAATTATACAGAACTCTTTATGTCATTCACAATCTTCTCAATACGTGTTACAAGGTTTGACCAATTTTAATTTGAGTTAATTTATTTTATTTGATTGCAAATATAAAACTTAAAACTAATGAAAAGTTCTAGTATAATACTCCCTCCGTCCCGGAAAACATGAGAGTTTTGGTTTTGGAGGGGGATTTAAGGGAAGTGTATTTTGGTATTGAATTTCCAAAAATGTCCTTTGATGTGATAGGTAAAAGTATGATTTGATGGATAGATTATTAGTAAAAAGGCACGATATGAAAAAGTAAAGGATAAAAGTGACTTTTTAATAGAAATAAGATGTGTTTTTTGGGACGGATGAAGAAAGAAAGGAGAAAAGTTTTCTGGGATGGAGGGAGTATAAGAAGTTCTAGTATTTAGGAGTATTATTTTATAAAAAGTAAAAATAAGCAAACAGAGACCCACAAATCCACAATAAGTTAAATTTGACCTTATAAATAAGGCAAACAGAGACCCACAAATCCACAATAAGTTAAATTTGACCTTATAAATAATACTCGTATTTAGGAAGATATATGAAAGATGAATCATTTATTACATAAGATATGATTCTAAAATATTTTGTAAAATTAATCTGAAATAATTATTTTATAATCAATATCTAATATTAAATGTCTTTAATAATTTTCAAAGTTTATCAATTTCGACTACAAAAAATCAAAAATTGACAAATAGTCTAGAACAAAAATATTATTTTAAAATTACGTACATCAAAAGTTTTATAATAAATAGTGTTATGACTATTTTATTTCATTAAATAATAAAAAATATTGAGTACATTCATGAAAAAAAAGTTAACAAATTTCTAATTTCTAAAATAATAAACAGGCCATTTTTTATAGACGAAGTATTAGATTTCACACTAATTATAATTAATTAAAATTTAAAATAACTTCTACAATATAAAATTTCGTGAACTATATTCTGACTTCTGAGTACACCGTACAATCTAATTTGAAGCAGAGGAAGAATTTTAAAAAATGTGACATGTCTATCACTGTATCAAATAAATAACAAAAATATATAATGGAACTTTTACTCCATATTTTGGTATAAAAAGAGTTTACACCCAAAACCCATTACGTCAACAAAAAGTCGAAATTGAATCATGAACAAATTTTTCCAACCCAGAGCTAAACTGACCCAAACCCGAAATAACTCCAACATGTTAGTCCCCTCTAGTAAAAATGGAAAAACAAACTTGGAGATAGTAGAGCAATTAGTTGTATTATATTTAGTGTTATGAAATGCATTCATAATATGCAGCCAGGTATATACACGATTCCAAACAATCCATAGAATAATAGGGACCAAGATATACCCAGCACACAGTATCTATAAACCATACTTGTGGAGAAACCACAAATTGCATGGTTCACAAAACCATCAATTGTCACCTATTCTCCTTGCATTTCATATGTAATTATTG